TTTTGATATCTTTGCTGACACATTATGTTGGCTGCTCCTTAAAATTGCTGAATGCCCCTCAGTCCTACAGCTACGGCTAATGTCCCCGACTACAAATAAAAATGCGTAGCCTGTAATTGTGGGAGGGGTTACTCAGCTATATAAGATCGGGCCCCCTCCTTATCACCACTGGGTTCATCCCTCCCACCTCTCCACTTTATCACAATTCATGGGTGGGCCCTTTTTTATTACAGGCCAACCCCATATGTCGGTTCCGGCACACCACACCCGACTGGTACTCACTTCTGTGGCTAATATCTTACTATTATGGCTAATGTCCCCGACTACAAATATATATATAGGCTGCTAGAGTAGGTTCTGCCAAGAATGGGGTACATTGACGTTGTGGCAGGCTTATGCAATTTAGGATCATATAATGTAACTAAAAACACGTTATTTTTTGCCTAGGAGAGGTGTTTTTAAATAAAACTATTAAATTCTGTGAGATTTTAAATCATTGTTTGGTGAATAAGCAAGTGCGCTGGATTATGTATATATATATATATCGTCAATGCAATGTTAACACAAAGAAAAGGAACCGCGCTTACAGCAGCAGTAGCTTAGTATCCAACAGTTTAAAATACATAGTAAAAACAAAGAGAACGTTACCTGCGCTCTGGCCTAAATCCCCCTGTACATTTAAACAAAATGGAGGCTCTTTAGTTTTATTCCAATGGCCATTTGAATATACAAGCTCACCTGCCACGTCAAGGCAAGCCTCAATAGGTGAGTCCTACACTAGCCATTAGATATGCTGATATCAGCCAAGAATCTCCAGTAAGACAGGAAGGGGTATTTTATAAACCTTTTCACATTTAACCCTTTATAGGGCTTCTACACATACAATAAACTTTGCTGGTATCAGACAAAGTGTAAACATCTCTAATGAGACAGGAAGGGGTATTTTATAAACCCTTTCACATTTAACCCTTTATAGGGCTTCTACACATACAATAAACTTTGCTGGTATCACACAAAGTGTAAACATCTCTAATGAGACAGGAAGGGGTGTTTTATAAACCCTTTCCCATTTAACCCTTTATAGGGCTTCTACACATACAATAAACTTTACTGGTATCAGACGAAGTATAAACATCTCTAATGAGACAGGAAGGGGTATTTTATAAACCCTTTCACATTTAACCCATTATAGGGCTCCTACACATACAATAAACTTTGCTGTTATCAGACGAAGTGTAAACATCTCTAATGAGACAGGAAGGGGTGTTTTATAAACCCTTTCCCATTTAACCCTTTATAGGGCTTCTACACATACAATAAACTTTACTGGTATCAGACACAGTGTAAACATCTCTAATGAGACAGGGAGGGGTATTTTATAAACCCCTACATACTTATTACCCCTAAATAGGGCTATAACAAATACAAATCACCTTGCCGGTGATGAACCCCTCAACACATGGGTGATTCACTGGCTCTGCATCTTTTCCTAAGTTCTGTTTCAAAGCTGTTGTATACCACAAACACAGACGCAAAGGAATAAGGCAAAAATGTGACTCTTTGTAAAGCTAATTTGCATATTTCCACCCAGAATCCTCTGCGATAGTAATATAACTGCAAATTTGGGATTTCTGAGGGAAAAGCAAGTCTTATGACTCGACTGGTGTGCAGATGTTTGTTTAACAATGTGTTAACTATTCACAGACTTCATGTGGAAGGGGTTTTCAATCACAATTTTTCCCCATGATAACTTTTTTGGTATAAATATATATATCGATATATACACACGCACAAAACAAAACCCCATATTTTGTATATATAAGGATGCATATTATATTTTGTGTTTTGATTAATGACGGGTTTAATAACTTAAAGGGCCAGTCCCGTGTAACAGTGATATTATCTATTGATGAATGTTTAATGAGCGAAATGATCAGTTTCCTGTATGAATGGTTCGTGTGTGTGAATAATAAAGCATTATTACATCCTAAGGGACAGTTATTTTAAGATCCCACTTCAAACGCTCGTAATGACATCACTCACATTGAATGTAACAAACAGCCTGAGTCAGACTCAATATAAACTGCTGTTTGATGGTTCTAAAAACAGAAGCAGGATGTCACGTTTCTTTGTCATGATGTTTTTTTGAAATAATGTATCACCTCTAGTTAGTCATACTAGATACATTTTCTTCACAATTGCTTTATATTTATTATTCCTAAATAGTTTGATCTAATGAAACACATTACAAGCCAATATGATAGATAAACAGATAGACAGACAGACATACAGACAGACAGATAGATAGACAGACAGACAGACAGATAGACAGACAGACAGATAGACAGGCAGACAGGCAGACAGATAGATAGATAGATAGATAGATAGATAGATAGATAGATAGATAGATAGATCTCAACCCCTCTGTTCCTGTGTGTCCAACCTGTCTGGTTACAACTACATGTTTGTTTGTTCGTCCACCAACTGTAAAGCGCTGCGGAATGTGTTGGCGCTATATAAATAATAACATAATAATAATAATAGACGGAGATAAACAGACAGACAGACAATCGGATATAAATAAATAAATATATATATATTTTCTTTTTATTGTAAAAGTAGACAGTATTTGGTGTGAATTAGAGGAAAATAATACCATCTTGCAATTCTGGGGACATTTTTAGATTATTTGTTCTTCGATCTTACTGTTTAGTATGAATTCTCCAAAACCCCTTGATGGGCTTTGGGTGTCCTGATCCTTGCTAGACTTGTGAACAGCAAGAAAGTTTGTTTCTGCCGAACCCATTTTCCCAAAAATAGAATATGAGGACATATTATGAATATGTTTTCAGTAGATTAATTGGAGCGTTTCCCCGCCATCTGCTTCATTGATCAAGAGAGGGAAAGTAATCAATAGAGGAGAAAAAAAGGGTAGGAGCAGTAAAAAAATCTAAATTTGAATATTTTATATTTATTAACCTCTTAAGGACGGAGGCAATTGTACAAGTTCTATTCAAAAGAAAATCAAAGCAAAACATACAGTTTGACTATAAGTCTGTTCAACCGTAATTTATGTCTTTCATATTGAGTATATATCATTTTATTCAGGAGAACCAAATTAAATATGTATATATGAAACATAATTTAATATGAATAAAATATAAAACGAAGTGTGAGAAATTTAGAAATGTTGTAATTTGCCAAGTTTTGCCTATTGTTGTAACTGTGAATGTCATAATACTTTTAGCTTTTATTGCAATAAATTACACATGTTTGTGTGCCGTGATGTCCCACGAGTACAACGATGCCCCCCATGTATAGGTTTCATAATGTTTTGGAAAGTTACAGGGTCAGTTATAGGGCTTGGCTATTTCAGTTTGCCTTTGAGATCATATGGCAGCCCTGTAATGAGAATTACCCCCATTATGGCGCAGTCTCCCTAACGGCATCTCTGAATAAAATCAACATTCAGTCACTGTCCCCGAGCCATCGATCTTTGATGAGTTAAAATGGACATGTTCGCTAATTGCCCGTTTTGCTTCACAATTCGACTACATTTTGGCTCAGAGTTTGGGAATTCGACTGATCACCTGATTATCCCAAACTGAAGTTCATAATGAAACTAATTTCCAAGTCAAACTCTGGCAAGTATCACTAAAGCTGCTCTTAAAGGGCCTTGAGCCTCCACCATGCCTACTATTACCAGCTGTAATGATACATTTGTAACAGTACAATAAGCTGTAATAATGCACTAAGCTGTATTGGTTATCGTGTTTGGCGTATCCATGTCTATACATGTCTGAGCTTCACAAAAATAGCTAAAGGATAAAATTAAACAATGATTCGGGCATATGTCTGCTCCATGTCCAAAATGTCATACTAAATAGCTATGTCCCTTGTCTTCTAATGTCATTTTTATGGTGAAGTTTCTATGAATCCTTTTGGTAGTTGGCATTAGTTACTTTGTCCAATGGAGCAGTCAGACATGGGTCTACTCTTAATTTTTTTTTCATATATTGGGTGGGCCAAAATTCAGAGGAGGGTTTGACGAGTCAATAACTTTTTTATTCATGAACCAATGTCAATGATATTACAAACAATGAATACTTAACGTATGAAGGTTTGTCTGACTAGTTACAGACATCTTTTAAATGAGCTCCACTTGCCACCTTGCAAAGTCGGGTTCTTTCTATTACATTGTTTATAACACTAGTTAATGTTTGAGGCTCTAGCACTTGAATTTCTGCTCGGGTATTCTTTTTGTGCTGCTCAAGTGTTCACGTACACCTGCTCCTTCAGTTATCCCCAGTAATCGGGAGCCAAAACGTCAAACGAACAGGGCGGCCAATTAATTTAAAAATTTCTTGAAATGGTCCACTCGTCGAAACAGTTGTTTCAGGTTCATTGTAGGCCTGGTAGTATGGGCAGAAGCCCAGTCTTGTTGAAAGGACAATATTCCTATACGGTACATAAACATATCCCATTACTCACACCAGCAAAATTCCACAATTTTTACTTGTTCCTTCGTGAAATTACCCATGATGAATCTTTGAAGATTCAGTTATAATATGTACCTGAAACAAATAAGTTATTTACCCGTCAAATCCTACTTTGCATATTGGTCCACCAAGTATTTCTGCTAAACACTTTATTTACAAACATCCTCAGGCCCCATAAGTAAGCCAAAAAATTCTGACTGAAAACTGTATTAAAAATTGTAATAATAAAAAAAATGCATTTAACACTTGATTCCTTGTAAAAAATGTGTTACGCTGGAAGTGAACAGGTTTAAATGTGATATTTCTCTTCTAACGCAAAGTTATTACAAAAACAGTAAACATTCTACCTTTAAACAGCAACTGAAAGAGTGTTCATTAAGATGATTAAACTCTGTCAAACTTCCATATAATTATTTATAATCCTGCAAATCTCTACAGTCATATTCCTACTGATTGATCATACAAGGTTGGGTCAGTGTAAAATTTCAGGAGTCACTGTGACGGCTCTGTAGGTGACAGGAATATAAATTCGGCGTTTCCAGCGTAAGAGTATCAAAGCATTCTTAATCCCTTTAACATTAGCAGCTGTCTCTAAGACTAACGGTGCTCAACCTCACAATGGCCTCAGAACGTCTCTTGTGCAAGGCTGGATTGTTGGTCCTGGTGGCCTGTGTGATACTGAATCTCCAAGGAGCAGGTGAGAAATCATTCTGGGTTATGAAATCTGTTTCTCCATATTCTCCTATTTTTCTATGTGACTCTCTGTACCTGGGCAGCGTCATTAGCTCATTCTGTCTTTGTTACAATAGGTTCCATGCTATCGAGAAGGGATTTCACCATATTACACTTTCTTGTCTTTTCATCTAAACTCAGTCTTTTTCATGTAGTCTTTGCGTTTTATTCTTTAAAATTAGAATTGTGGAAAATCAACAAAGGATTAACAAATGTATGCTGAATGAACCAAGCATAAAAATATAGATAATACGGAGACAGTTTCCAAACTGGATATTTGTTTTTATGTAAAATTAGCAATACCAGTACCAGCAATCCCTGTACCAATACCAGCAATACCGATCCCCACAATACAGGATTGGGTATTGGTTGAGCATTCCGTGTAGGGAAGGATATACTAAAATGTGTATGTCTACTTCAGAAATGGACTATATATAACCAATTTTTTATAAGCAGGAACATTCTCTCACATGTTCTGAAGAAGATTTATAACTTTTACTCTTCCTCTTGTGACACTCATTTCCTTTCAACTCACTTTGAACTTTATCCTATTCCTTTTGCTGCTCTTTCCGTAAAATCAACATACTGCACTATGTCATCCCTTTCCTTGTTTTCTCCACATTCTTCTATCAATAAGATACTGTGACACTATTTGCATATCTGTAGACAGAAAAAATAAACTTGATCTACAGATTTGTTGAGGCTTATAATGAATAGGAGACATGTTTGGTATTCAGAAATCCATCTGCATGCATATCTTACACGGTTTCTTCCTTTTTCCCAGTTTTGAATTGTTTCTCGTCTTTATCATTCACTCAGCTATGAGTATGCACTGACTCGTGGACCCTATCCCAACTTCACTCACAGACCAATTTAGCTTGGTCTAACTCTCCCCTCTCGCTTCCCTCCAAAATCACAGTGTAGTGAGAGACTTGAAGGATTATTCACTAAAATGAGAATTGAATTAAAAGTCAATTTGGATTGTTCTCCTTGGCCTTTGTATTGTCTTTTGTTCTGCAGACTGTAATAATATTGCTATTTGTGCTGTTCCCTTCTACAATGTTATTGAAAACGACCTTTACAAATGCTACCAAATTTCTTAAAAATAAATCATTTCAATAACTTTGAAAATAAAAAAGTGAGTATCAAATATAAGGTCAAAATGACTGAACTATAAATATTTTCCAGATCAGCTCTGCTTTCAGTCTGTCTTCATGAATTTCACACCTTCATGGTTCTTAAAGGGATCCTATAGTGCCAGGAAAACAAGGTTGTTTTCCTGGCACGATAAGGTTAATAGGACCCCCTAACATTTCAATGCTTTCCTATAGGAAAAATCTGACGCTGGAGGTCCTTGAGGTCGTCCAGCGTCAGATAACGGACCAAAAGTCAGTTTGGATTCCGGAAGCCCTCCAGGGGTTCTGGTAGACAACCACAGAGGGCAGACTTAGAGCTGCAATGTAAGCATGTTTTACATGGCAGCACTATGTGCAAAAAGGTCACAGCACCCAGACTACTTCAATGAGCTGACATGGTCTGGGTGCCCAGAGTGTTCCTTTAATGTGTATTTACTACAGGTAGAATTCAAAGTGAATTTCCAGTTTTAGCCCAAAGTAGCCAAACATGAAGCACTTGACTTCAGTGAATGTTTCCAATCTTGAAATTTGGGAAATTGACTTTGAAATTCTGATTTAGTAAATAACTGCTGTATTGTTTGTGAATCTAAATCTTCCAGCAATTCATTGTAACTTATTGTAACTCTTTATCATTGCAGACGCCCAGACAAACACCACCAGTACCGGTATGTATAAAACATATTATGCAAGAAATTACCAAGAGATAGAAAGACAGGAGAATGATTAGTTCTAGGGGTGATAGAGCCGCATTGCATGACCCAGTGACAGGACATTGCAAGACACAGAGTCCAGGTGAAATGGGGGAGGGGGACTTTATCATGTCTCAATAAACAACATTACTTTGTATTTCTAATACAGTTATAAGAGAACCTAACCCCCAGAATATATAAATGTACCTCTCCGTACCTCCCATCAATTCAAATGGTCAAAGAGGGACATATTGTGGCCAGGGGCAGGGCTGTCCTGAGAACCTTTATCTGCCTAGCTAATCGAACGTTATGAAACTAAAGCGTGATTCAGAAGAACAACGTATCTTATGTACACAGACTGATTTCTAACAATATGGAACTCTTAGAAAAGAGGGACAGAGGGATTTGGGCACAAAATAAGGATCTCTTAAATAGGGACACTTGGGAGGTATGCCAATCTACCAGCTCTTATCTGAATACACAATTATTGAGACAAAGGAGACACAGCACAATATATACCCCACTCCCTGAGCAATACACAACACAATGCTTAGTTTAGTTCAAGGCTAGCTGACTCAGCGTAAAGTGACTTGTAATTCAGAATTTGGCATACTGCGTCCTCTGTCTTGGCCTGAGCGTATTGCTGCATAGGACAGTGACACAGATTTAGGTGAGCGTGCGTCCTGTAATAATACGATGTAATAATACGATGTGTTTCTTGTTAGGCGTGCCTGGCTGGGGTGTAGCACTCTTAGTGTTAACCTCTCTTATCCTCTCCTCCCTGCTCTGCAGTATGTGCTGTTTGGTAAGTTTGTTTAACTCAGTCACCTGTCATAACTATTGCCTTCAACACAGCAATTAAACTGGCAAACAGCGCCTCTCCTACATGTTTATATGAGTAACATTGTATCGGCCTGCTCCATTTCATAGAGTCCTATAATTATCTCCTGATGTTGGATCCCCACCATAACTATTGTATAAACAAATCCCGTGATTTCTTTGCATACTTTGCTGGGAGACCACTCCACGTATCCACAACCCATCACTGATCCATCTCTTTTTCCCCCGACAGATAACTTCTAACAGGGGCAATAGTCATTTAACTTCATTTTTCCTGATTTTAATGTGTAGATTTCACTCACTGCTGATCTACGTCATAGAAAATCGCTGCTAATTGTAAAAATGTGAAATAAATAAATATTAAGTTTAAATAAAAGCAAACAAAGAAAAACCTCCTCAGGGTAGTGACCGGTTTATACAGGAACAAGGGTCGTAATGTTGTTCTTTGTAATGTAGTTTATGTTTATGGAAACTATCAGACATTTTCTATTGTTTTAATTAATGACAATATGTTCTAATACCTTTTTTCTCAGCCCTTGCTGTGTAAAAGCCATGGGGGAAGCAGTCACTGTGGATTTTCACTCGGAAAGTAACGCTGAGGTTCTCCTGAAGAAGAATTATTTGCTCTGCTATTTAATAATATTTTAATTTTTTTTGTTTATTTTTGTGTATTCAAATCCTCCTGGTCTGTTAATGCTAAGCCTTGTGGGTAAACCTTATATATTTAAAGTGTCAAATCCCTTTCTTTTATTGTAGGCTACAAACTCTAAAACAGCTGCTAATCTACCTATTGAGAGGATTAAGCATATTGAAAGTCAGTTTTTCAGATTCCCATAAAAGCTGTCCTGGTCAATCTGAGCCAGTCATCCCCATCAGTCCTATTATTAAATTACCGACTGATACCAGCTGTGGGTAAGATTGTGAAGCAGTTACTTTGCCAGCCAGGGCGGCCTTTGTAAGATTATTGCGTTTGCCAATCTCTATCAATTGGACTATGAAGTCGATTGTTAATCTGGCCATTAATAGGTTTCACATTGATAATACATACAAATCAGATTTGTTTCAGCCAAGTAATATAGAAGTACAAAGCTGTAGAATAGATTTTTAAAAATACACTAAATTGGCCCTTAGTATTTACCCCTTAATACATAGCACCAAATAAATCATGGCTACTTTTGGATTTGAAATGCATTTTGGTTCCATTAGCCACACTGTGTTTTTACTCTGCAATGCATTGTGGTCCCAATAGCAAATATGCATTATTTACTCTGCATTTGCAATGCATTGTGGTCCCATCACCCACAATCTGGTAGCCATTCTGAGTTTGCAATGCGTTGTGGTCCCATCACCCACAATCTGGTAGCCATTCTGAGTTTGCAATGCATTGTGGTCCCATCACCCACAATCTGGTAGCCATTCTGAGTTTGCAATGCATTGTGGTCCCATCACCCACAATCTAGTAGCCATTCTGAGTTTGCAATGCATTGTGGTCCCATCACCCACAATCTAGTAGCCATTCTGAGTTTGCAATGCATTGTGGTCCCATCACCCACAATCTGGTAGCCATTCGGTCCCATTAGTTACATTCTATCAGTTCATTTTTAGTTATTCTGAGTATACAAAGCATTCTGGTTCCATCACCCAAAATCATTTAGTTCTGAGTTTGCAATGTCTTGTGTTTCCATTAGTTACAATCTATTACATACTTTCAGTTTGCCATGTGTCATAGCCCCTTCACCCACAATCTATTACTTACTCTGAGTTTGCAATGTGTTATGGTACCATCAGCCAGAATGTTTTAGTGACACTTGGGTTGCAATGCTTGTTGGTCCCCTTAGCTACAATAGATTAGTGATTCTGAGAGTACAATGCATTCTGGTGCAATTAGCCATTATTTTTTGATTATTCTCAATTTGAAATGCATGCTGGTCCTATTCACAACACTCTATTAGTGATATTGAGATTGCAATGCACTCTCTCTGAGAGTCCAATTTATAACTAATCTTGACTTGGCAACATGTTTTCCAATTCTAGTAACATTATACAATACACATTCTTTGGGAGGAACACATTGTGGCCCCATTTACCATTATCTTGTACCAGTTTACGATTTGAAATACATATTGGATTCTTTCACTCCAACTGTTTCTATATGTTGGTCCCTTTATCATTTACTTCGCTTTCCGCTTGTTATATTGTTACATCAATTTAATTTTATTATAAAGAGCGTTTACAGTAAAATATGTTTCAACACAGGAATGTGAACTGAAAAATAGGTGATATCCTGAGAAATGTATTCTAAAATCTGTGTAAAATATAACTTATTAAAAGATATTTTAAATAATTAAGATTTGCACTTGTCTGTCATTTTTACTTATTGCGATGGGGCTACTGGTGAGATTGTGACAATGAGATTAAAGTCATAACAACTGTGCAAATTAAAATAACACTTTGTAATATAACAGTAAATACATGTGATCATTTTCTTCACTCACTCTACTGATTTCTTATGTTAAAAAAGTGGTAAATTAAAGGGACACTCTGGTCACTATAACAACTTCAGCCCTCTTACCTTAAGGGGTCAAACTGTTCTCAAACGATTCTGTGATACACTCGTTAACATTAAACACCACTATGAGTGTTGTTGCTGCCAAGCTCTGTGATATACACATGTGATCGGAGATATCCATTTTTGGTATTGGTTACTTGAGGTCTTTTACAAGTGTTGGTAGATGATTTCGCTGACTGGATAGGTAGGAATAAACACGAGTCACAGACTGAATGTAGGTGAAGGTGCTATGGTTTGAGTGACAGGCAGAGAATGAAAATGGAAAGCTCCAGGAATTCAGGTACTCAAAGTGTTAAGTAAGGCGGATTCATAACACACAGTAGCCTTTTACATAAACATTTCAATTCTGGACTGAACCTCATATAGGAGCATAGAATAAAGCCATACGTAATCCCCACATTGTTATTGTTATGTAGGTACCAAAACCACTACTCCAGCTTAATATAGTGTTTCTGGAACAAAGAGATTGCCACTGCAGTGCTGTATAAACATTTTCTGAGAATAAATAAGAGAATGATGGGAAGCAGCGCTTACAACTGTAGTCCTTAGTTCCACTGGAGCAATATGAAAAATCGAAGGGACAAACCCAAATATAGTGTAGTATTTTAGGGTATCAAAACCTGTATTTGGGTTATGTCCCTTCTATTTTTCATATTGATCCAGTGGAACTAAGGACTACAGTAGCAAACGCTGCCTCCCATCATTCTCTTATTTATTTTTATCTACGACCAGAAGGAAGAGACTCTGGTTCGGGAAGTTTGAGCTGCTACAGATACAAAAAGCAAGCTCCAGAAATCTCTCTCTTTTTCCCATTTTCTGAGAAAAAGCAGGATTTACGTTGCTGGGTAATGCCACTTCTAGTGACTGTCACATGGACACTAGATGAACGTCCTAGTTCCTGTCCTGTCAAGATTGCAGAACCAACATTAAATGTCTCCACACTTGGCATGTAGACACTGAGTGCTCCCCATAATGATGCAATGCGTCAATGTATATCTATGAGGAGATGCTGTTTGGCACAACATTTCGATTCTGCGCATTCACACTAGCCCCCAATGCTTCCCTATAGGGATGCATTAGTTTGATAACCTCACCCAGGAAGGGGTGGTGGCTATGGTGTGACTGGTGTGCTGGGAGAATTAAGGTTAATGAATCTATTTTATTACTAATGGGGGTCCTGAACATCTAACTAGACCATAGAAAACTCTATTTAATAAGCAAAAGATAAGGGAAATAGCTGGGAGTGGATAAAATGACAAGAAGTACAAACCAGGGCTGAACAGGCTCACCCAGGGCCGGTGCGTCCATAAGGCAACACAAGTGGCTGTCTTAGGGCGCACTGGCATAGGGGGTGCTAGATTAGAGTGACCACCAGGAGGTGGGCACACAGCGCTCCCTCCTGCCAGTCACTCAGTGCAGCGTGGCCGAGCAGAGTGGACCACATTACAGGAACTTCTGTTTCCTGTACTGAGAGAGCACTTCCTGTCAGTTTGGCCGGGTACAGGAAACCGAAACACCTGTACTGTGGTGTGCACTGCTCTGCTCAGCCACACTACAAGAAAGATAAGAGACACACCGGGGACCCGGGGGGGGAGAGAGAGGGGCACCAAGGAGGGGGAAGGAACACTATGGAGATGGGAGGGGGAGAACACTCATGGGGGATGTGGGTGGGAAGAACACTATGAGAGACAAGGAGGGGGGAGAAAGAACATTATGGGACAGGGGTGCAGGGAGAAAAAAACACTACGGGACAGGGGTGGGGGAAAGAAAGAACACTATGGGACAGGGGAGAAATAACACTATGGGACAAGGGTGATGGTGGAGAATGAACACTCTGCGACAGGGGAGGGGGGAGAATACTGTGGGACAGGGGAGGGGAGAAAGAACACTGTGAACAGGAGTGGGGGGAGGAAAGAATTTATATAGTGAATAGGGACAGGGGAGGAGGGAAGAAAAAAACACTATGGGACAGAGGAGAAGGGAGAAAGAACACTATGGGACGGGGAGGAGGGAGGCAGGGGAGAAAGAACACTGTGGGACAGGGGAGGGGGAGAAAGAACACTGTGGGACAGGGGAGAAATAACACTATGGGACAAGGGTGATGGGGGAGAATGAACACTCTGGTACAGGGGAGGGTGGAGAATACTGTGGGACAGGGGAGGGGGGAGAAAGAACACTGTGGGACAGGGGAGGGAGGAAGAACACTACAGGACAGGGGGGGGGGGAGGAAAGAATACTATGGGGCAGAGGAGAGGGGAGAAAGAACACTATGGGACAGGGGAGGAGGGAGAAAGAACACTATGGGACAGGGGAGGAGGGAGAAAGAACACTATGAGACAGGGGTGGGGTCGAGAAATAACACTAACACTGTGGGACAATGGAGGAGAGAGAAAGAACACTATGGGATAGGGGAGGGCTGTAGAAAGAACACTATGGGATGGGGAGGGGGGGAGAACACTGTGGGACAGGTTAGGGTGAGAAAGAACACTATGGGACAGGGTAAGGTGAGAAAGAACACTATAGAACAGGGGAGTGGGGAGAGAGAACACTATAGGACAGGGGAGAATGGGGATAATGAACACCATGGAATGGGGGAAAAACACTATGGGACAGGGGAGGGGGGAGAAAGGCACAGAGATGTGCCTGGGGGTGAGAAAGATGTACAGAGGGACTAGGGATTAAAGCGACACAAAGAAGGGCCTGCAGGTGGGAATACAAAGGGGCTGAGATGAAAGAGACACAGAGGGGCTGGAGAAGAGAAAAATGAGACACAGATGGGCTGGGGGGAGATAGATGGGCTGGTGGTGAAAGAGAAACACACAAAGGAGCTGGGAGAGAAGGAAACACAAAAGGGGCTCGGGGGAGTAAGACACACAAAGGTGGGTTGTAAGAGATACACAAGGGAGGTGTATGATACACAGAGGGGAAAAATAGGGGATGAGATACACTAAAGGGGGTAAGACATCTCTACTTTCATATACTCTCTCTCTCTCTCTCTCTATATATATATATATATATATATCATATTTGTACGTATATGTATTTCTTTTTTTATTTACTAATATTAGTTTTTTTATATTACCAGAAGCAGGGAGACTGTCTGTCAGTTTAGGCAGTCCCCCTGCAGGCAGCACTATGGATGCCAATTGCGGTCATGTGACCGGTCTTTTAGAGTAATCACATGGCCTGCGGGGTACTAATTTGCAGAGTTGGGACTGTCTGGGCTGTCAGACAGTCCCCCCAGACTGGGAGCAACACCGATCACTGGCGGGGGACCACTTCTGCACTACTTAAAGGAACGGGAACTAACCAAGACATGAGACATCACCCAAACTTGCAGAGCACCACGTTACCTCACAGTCTGTGGACATTGCCAGGGATACAAAAGCATCAGAAGGAAGAATTTCCCATATGTCCCACTCCTTTACGCTCCAACCACCTAAAACTAACTTTACACTGGGACCAGCTATGCGGTGGCAAAGCTCCAACGGACTCGATGTGTGATTGTTTAATACGGTTAATAGGGGAACTGCTTTTACTAGGTGAAGGAATAGCAGACCCCCCTTTCCTAAATTAACATTGCCGCCCATCCCAGAACCCTAACTATTCACTATATAAATGTCTCAACCCTCGACACATCTAGCCCAATTTTAAACTCACCTCTTCAGCACAACCCCCCCACTAATGTGACAATGAGGGCTCCTTCAGCTGTGTTAAGGAGTGGGGTTCAGATTCACTGATCTGATGATGTGTGGGGGGACAATGGCCTGCACCATGAAAGGCGATAACTGTAAACCCATACCTTTATTACCTATAAAGTAATCAGCTGGGAAAGGGAAAGCGGCCTAGAAATGTAAAGGACAAAATACAAAACAAAAAAAACAAACAAAAAAATGTGTATGTATATATTTATGGGACAAATAGTAGTCACTGGTTACTGTGTGCTATCTAGGATATGTGTGCTAGCACTTTCTGACTCACCTGACAACATATAGATGGTACATGTCTTTTACAATATAACTCAATAATCTAGGTGGTATTCACACTACTACCAATACAGGTCCACCACATCTCACAACAGAACAGACACATAGGGAGAAGTGGATGTGTAACATATTAAACATGCCCAAACTATACGAATTCATAGGTATTCTAGCTGTTGCATTGTGAAATACTATCAATCACTTACATTCATTGCGGTATTACCGCTCACACACTGAATAAAACCACTACACACGGTGTCACTAATAGATTTCCGGAGGCACTGCATCCATCCGGGAATAGACCGGTGTGGCGAAACCGACCTCGCCACTGGGCATTGGAGAAGACTGATTGCCAGCCTACTGCCATGTGACTATGGCCCCTGGGATGTATTGCCCTTTAAAGACATGATTTGGGCATAATGGATTTGTGTTGTGCTGCTGCTAGCCCTTTTAAGAACCATCTGGGGACATACTGTGAAGTTACTGGGTGGCCACCATTTCCTGTATCAGAAGCACATGGTGAGAACAATACATTTTAACTCACAGACACTCTGTGGACTTTTCAACACGGTGCCATCTCGCCAGTATTTGTTGCACAGAGACATCGTGCGGTGGTTTTGGACTATACAGCCGGGGACACATTATACAGTGATTGTTTTTATTTAGCCTGTATATGTTCTGCAGAATCTGCATTAAACTGTATTTTCCAAAGTACTGAACGGATCTGGGTGAATTTTGGATATGTGGCTCACCCAGATCCCCCAGTTCCAAGGATATACTATGGGGTTATTGCATGTTTTGGGGTCCCTG